GTGGGCTGGGCGGCCATGTCTCTCTCATCTGCTGCCTGCATTTGTGTGCTCGAGGTGTACCTCTACGCTGCAAGTAGTTGTGGCTGTGGTGTTGTTGTGTTTCTCGGTCTAGGTCTGAGACAAGTCGGGGGCAAGTAAGAACAGGTGAGAAGCGAAATAGCAGGTGTATTGCCGCCCCACGCTGCACGCAAAGGACAACACGCGGAGTTCCAGGTCGTAGTGGCATGCGCCGGAAGCGGGGCGGTACCTGGTGGCTGGGCCAGGTGGACTGCGTTGTGTGGTCGTGCCTTGCGGTCGGTTTGTGTTGTTTGAAAGAAAGAGAATCGTGAGTATGGAGAGGGCGTCCTCGAGACGAGGCTAAGAAGCTCCCCGGCTCTTCCGACGCGACAGCAGCAAGCTTGGGCTCCAGGGTGCACCTTCTCGGCGTTCGGCCTGCAAAGCTGACGAAATTTCGCGTGTTGGCGCTGCTCAATCTTTGAACTCACTCCACACAGCCACAAGCTGGGCTCTCGACGTGTGGGGCGCGGCACACGAACGACCAAGAACGTTCGACGAATGCGGAGTGGTGAAAGGCCCGAGCGGGCGAGAAGAGAGTGAACGAGACCATGACGGCGAAGGCTCGGGGAGTGAATGGGAGTGGCTTTCTAGTTGGGGATGGTGCTGTTCAAGAGGATGGGGAGGACGTTGGGGATGGAGTAATGTTCGAAGCAGGGGCCGGCGTAGTCGTTGTGGACGCACGACGTCGTGAAGCGATGCAGCCGTCCGGTCTCGTGCAAGGTCCTGACCCCACATCGATCCCCGCCCGCCAAATCCCATCAACATCGGATCACGTGTGCTCGGTCGAGTCACCAAAGTTCGAAGCGTGTGCGGCAAGACGCACCTGAGTCCGATCCAGTCGTACTTGTACATGGGCTGCTCCTCGAGGGGCACGACAGAGGCCACCGAGTTGTTGGCGAAGGCGCCGAACCACCCGGTCTCCCGAGGAATCAGCACCTGAGCAGGGCTCTGTGATTTCCAGCTTACGACGGCGAGAAGGGTGCACGCGGAATGTACCTCGTCGATGGTCGAGTAGCTCATCACGAAGCTCTCGAGGTCGAGGATGCGTTGCTTGTAGATCGGATTCTTCTCCTCCCTTTCGTTGTTGATGTCGGACAGGAAGATCTTCCTTTGCACGTACTCGGCCAGAGCAAACGGGTCTGGTGCGTCGGGTGTCGGTAAGCGCCCTTTCAGGATGTCGCACACATCGCCACGCACGTACTCGCCAGTAGCCGGCGAAGGAGAACACATCCTGTGCCCACTCGTCGTAGATGCAGCAGTCGGCGATGTCATCCGAGGGTNACGTTGAGATACTCCCAGCTGCCCCATACGCACGCCACACC